TTTATTTGTTGAATGAAGGATGGATAGTGATAATATACAGGTTTCCAGACTCTGAAGAAGGCGATTACGCCGAAACTTAGGTTGATAAGAACTTATTTAACATCTTGGCAGCAGGTTCAAAAAAGTCTTGTAACATTAATGCCCGAAAACTAATAACTCTACACTACTAAACTAAACTTCCATGGATCTACAAGGTACAAATTCGATAGGAGTACGGGCCTCAAGATGCGAACACTTGTAGTAGGTTGCTTGATTAGATTCCGCCCTCAGGGGGCGGGGCGTGCGTGAAAGAATTATTTGACCGTCATTTCATAACTTCTGTTTGCGCGGACTTAGAATTTGAACGCACTAGGTGTTTGAAGGCATCAAACTCCTAGCGCGCTCAAATTTAGTAGGGTTTCAGTCTACGGGATAGGAACTTTGGGAGTTGCTGGTATGAATGAACTGCGTGGGAGGGGGTGGGGCGTGCGTGGAGAGAATTGGAATTGAATCGTAAAAATAGAAAGGGGGTACATGCTGCCGGATGAGAACGCTAATGGTAGGGGCAGATTGTTAGCAAAAAAANAAAAAAATTCTAATCTGACCCTGAAGCTTCCGAAAGTAGTGGGTGTACAGTCGGCAATATCGAGACCCCGATGGTAGGTGAAAAGGGGTGATTGAGCTGGACTCCACCCGAAGGGAAAGGAAGGCGGATGGAGATGGCGCGGGGAGTGTCGGTTTGTGTGTTCTGCGAGAAATCATTGCGTAACTCCTGCTCTCCTGAACCGTAGCATCCGAATTTGGGAAGAGCGTTGTGAGCGGGTCAGTTTTAACTCAAAAGGGAGGAGATGCCGGAATCAGCAGGCGAACCGACTCTTGGCATATAAGCCACCAAGGGAGCAAGAGCAACTGTGGTATTGTAATAGATAGAGAGCACGGTGCGTGCAGAGCAAAGGGACGTGTTCCAGTCTCGTTCAAGGTGGAGGGGTTGCCAATATTTCACCGTCCTCGTAAGTCGAAGGCGTTTTCGGTTCCACTTTAGGTTCCTTAGGAATGGCACCATTGATTGTTATTTATTGCCAAATTAGTCTCTAGGTCCCACAAAAACAAAGATCCTCAAGTAACCCTGAAACCCCTTGAGTAACGCCAAATGAGTGTTCCGAACTCGTCGTCAGATCTAAAAATAGAATCAAGCTCTCATAAGATGTTATGACATTTATGCATGTGTACACGAATATGGATCATAAAAACAAATATGGAAAACACATATTGCAAGCATTGATGGCCAGGGGATGTTGACCAGTGGGTGTCATGTCGACAGTTTATGAATAAACTGTAGAGGATATTGTCATGAGCAGTGACAATAGTAAAGTCATGTTATCAACGGCAAGAACCTTGTTGGATCACAACCGGCATGCAGTATCCAGAGGCGGATTGACGAAGCACACCAGTCATTAGGTGGTGGCAAACTGCTGTGCACGGCCATGTCTGCCGCAAGACATTGGGATTTCTGGCCGTAATCGGTTCGTTTCATCCACAACCCGTGTCTGTGGCATGGATTTCCGCTCCTTTTCCTCACGCTCCTGCAAGAATATCTACTTATTCAGAAACACCCAACTGGGCTCCTTTCATTAGAAATTTGATATGATGCGTTGTTTAGGTGGTTTTAGTGCTCGGACAAGGGGTAGGTCGCTTTTTTTCTAAGACACTCAATGTGTGGGTAGCATGTAACCTGGTGTAAGCGAATTAAAGGCGTAGTTCGCGATAACTCCAAGGTACCCTTTTTATGCGGAAATGTCGCTGAAGAATAGTGCATCGTTGGCGAAGAAAGAAAGAAAATCCGGCGGTTCCGCGAGAAATAAGGCTTTCTAAAGGTAGAGAAATAGAGCTTGTTTGAGATCACCATGACGTGAATGGCATATCAGGAGTACTCGGACGAAATTTCAGCTGTTGTTACCGCGGTAAAGGCACAGTTTACGATAATTTTGAGATGCCCTTTTATTCGACAAGCGGAAGTATAGGTTGGGAGTAGTCATCGGTAGTGAAGGAAACGAGTAAATTCACCAATTTCGAAAAAAATAGGCTCCTCGAAAGTAGGGGAAATAGAGTTTCGACGAGATTACCACGACGGAAGTAACATGGTAGGGATATCTGGACGAGATTTCATTTGTTGCAATTGAGAGCTGACCACATCAAGCTCATAATTTTGAACAAACCTGTAGCCTTAACAAATCCTCGATGACTTCACCGAGTGCGATTTTCACTTTGAGGGCAGTGTGACGACAATGAGGAGAGTGATGCCAGCAGTCTACCATAAGACCGACCATCTTCTGCAGATGAACCTTAAAATTGAACGTTGAAAATTACTTCTGGAACCTGTCGCGAATGTAGCCCAGTTTCCAGAAGGACCCGACAACGCTGTGGGAAGATTTAGCCTTGTTCTTTCGAACGCACATTGCTCCCATTCGTCCATGAAGGCTCTAGTGGTGGACGTTTCCCGTTCGCTCCGCACACAATCTTTTCCATTTCGGCAAATGAAGGATCGCTGTCGACCAATTCACCAAATGGCGGCGTATATGGATATGATCGTCGTGACTGAAGAACAGAGTTCATGCTACTATCATTGCAGATTTTGGAAGAAGACGTTCCAACGAAATCTCACTCCGTCTGAGCTCTTGTGCATGTGTTGCATTTTGTAGTTCTCGCTTTTCATTTCCGTGTAAATGGTTGGCACCCTTTCGGCTGCTGCTTTGCCTTCTCCACTCACTGAACCATAACCAGATTCACCAGAGCCCAGAGTCGATCCACACACATCTGCGCACTGAAACACGTCTTTTGTACTCATTAAGTTAAACATTACCACAATGTTTTCAAAAAGTTCTATCACCCTAAAAATACACAAGAACTTCTTTCCTTTGGCACAAGCTCAAAGGCACAGCTCACATATTATTAAGGCAGTCTTTTCAAGTGGAAAAGTGAGATTGTTGGTGGGGAATAGTGCACCGATGGCGAAAAAAGTGTGAAATTCCGCCGACTTCTTGAAAAATGAGGAGTCCTAAAAGTAGTGGAAATAACGGCTGTACGAGTCTATCACAACGGGTGTGGCATGGGAGGGGCATTTGGACAAGATTTCAGTCGTTACAAATGCCTAAAGGATATAGTTCATCAGGTTAAAAATGTTCAAGACTGTCTTCCACTGATGCCATGGGTCACCATTAGATGTTTGAATTTCCAACATAGGTGTCCATTATGAATAGCGTAATCTCGACAACCCCGTCAAAACTCGTACTGTTTTGGGTGTGGCATACAGTCGGTGCAACCTTTGAACCTTTTTGACTGATCATTCTAATTATTTCTGATGTGACAGTGCCACATATAGTTTACAGGGGAGTCACTCTCCTGTAAACTATATGTGGCACAGCTTATTACAGCTTTTTACTAACGGGATGTTGTTGTGAAGTTTACCTTCAAATTACGGCCTCCAACTTCCAGAACTTTGTTCACCCACGTGACTTTCTTGGTAATGTAAAAACCTTCAACTCTTTATATCAAACACGATAGGAAACGGATTATTCGAAAGATTACAACTGAGAACTAGAGATTTCATGGAATTGAAGAGTTGAAAGAACAATATTTCATCCAAATGATTGTTGAAAGAATGATTGACTACACATTTCCTTTGTGCTTCCTATATCACCCAAGAGCCTAATGCCGTGGCTAACAGAAGCGCCCGAAAGTCGCAAGATTCTTGCCTAGAATTCAATTTCGATTTCCATACCTTTCAACTGAATTTCTCATGATCCGTTTAAATCCACGTGAAAAGAATAGTCTGTTATGAAAAGGGCGAAGGAGCTGTAGTGTTCAAAGACGCGGTTCTACAACTATGGCTCGGGGAACGAATCCTAGATGACTTTCGGCCCGCACCAACCTTAACTCTTAGTCTTATCTCGAAATCCGGATTCAGCTCCCAAAATGAAATTCCAAGAACGCTCCCTACAAAACCCTATGAAATCTCCGAGATATTCGACACAATGACCATTTCCCTATGCCATAACTTTTTCGATGCTGAAAGACGCCCGACGGCGCCACATTGTCGAATGTCAGCAATTTGAGAACAGACGTCATTCACAACCCATCGAGCACTGACCGTAGCTTTCAAGGTTGGCCTGGTTGGAGCCTCCAAGAGGAACCTTTTAACGCTCTTCAGTGGATTGCTACAAGATGTATTGTAACTCGGACATGGCGCAGTATTACTAGTCTTGATATGTGAGGAGACTCGAACGATAATTACATCAGCCTTCTGCGAGAGTTTTACGAACAATTGAGGATCACTAGCTTTCATTCCGGAACTATTGTGATCAATTTTCACCATTAAAAGATGATAATAAAAGAAATTCCTGACCAAAGAGTCCCCGGAGTCGGCCCTCCTTTTACCGATTCATAATAAGTTAGCCATCGGTAAAATTGAAGCCGGACCATTTCATTGAATAATCTGACTTCCTTACAAGCGAGTAGCCACGTACAGTTTGGTTATCGGTTCTAATACCGACGGAAAAATTTATACAGATGGCGCTGAGTAACATTGCCCGGTCCACAACTGAACTCGCAACCCAAAATGGTCCATTTTCGCTTAGCTCAGTGGTGACAAGAGCAGATATCAAAAGTGTTTGCAGGGGCCGTAAGGTATGCTCCACCGAACAGGGGAGGGTCCCCTTCCCGGTAAGGTATGCTCTCGAGGAGAGCAGAGAGAGAGACCCGAATCGGGGCGTCCCAGCCCCGAACAGGAGAGCACACCTTACGGCCCCAGATAGCTACATAGCCTGTGTAATAATTCGATCTAAGCATGTTCAGAGGTATTTATAACGTAAACACAATCGGCCCTTCCAAATACCTTACTATACGGGTGTCAATTATAATGATGTCAAAAGTGATGACTAAGGAGATAGTGGAGTGTTAGTAATTGCCCCTGATCGGATATGAGTGGTAGTCAGTGAGGGTACTGTACGGATATTGATCAGAGGGATGTTTTCCTTCGTTTTCGTATAGTACCTGGCTTTTGAATCTGATATCCCGGACCAGAAAATCTGTATCGACCTTGCTAATATCTCTATAAGAGCGTAAATTCTTCACTACTTAGCCGTGGTATGAGCTATGTACAACAGAATTTCCATCCCAGAAGCAACCAACACTTCTTTCTAGATTCGAGAGTTGGAAGGAACTCTTTCATATGGAGTTCTCAATGGGAACCTTATACGCCAACAGCTGCACGCTAAATCGTTATTACCACCAGCCCACTAGTGATATACTAGAGAGAATCTTATTCGATACTTGTCGAGCGCACAGAATAAAATGGTATTGCGTGGCTCACAGTATGAAAACATGCCTAAAGTTTGGGAAACGTTTTCAATGGGTACATTTATTGTCTCACAATGCCAGTAATACTTCTTCAGTAATAGTCTTTGAAATGGAATTACTTGTAAATAAAGAATTTCAGTGTTACCAAAAACTCATTTCTGGGACTTTCCGCCGCTTTCCATTCCCATCCAGAATCGCTTTGTCCTTTTAATGTGTATGTGGCTTACTAGACCATGGCTAGTCAACATATAAACCTGTGTTTTTGACCTTACAGACGAGTCTACGGTCTCTACAGTCTAGTACAAGTTTACCGACCCCGGAAGGCTAACCTGCTTCGGTACGCGGATCATCCATAAGTGGCAGTGAGCCGCCCGATACCATATCGTTTCTGGTCATGAAATGGCAGGCCTTCAGAAACTGTGGCTTTATCTTGTTGAGGGAATAGAAGGAGTTGTCTCGCACAGGGAGTAAATTCGGGGTACCAGCTTGTTGTTTTCATTTTGACATTGTACACCTATGGCTCAATTAAGCATTTAATTAAGGGGAAAGCAAACCTCACCTCAACTTTCCTTGCTATTTCCCACAACACTAATGCATAAGAGTACATGTCAGCCATCTTGAACTGGGCGAAAAAATTCGGATCGAGCGTTTTTCGGATGACTTCGGGAGCCATGTACCGTTTTGTGCCCGCCTGCACGTTTACTTTTTCAGGAATTAGGCGATTCTCGCTGGAAAAGAAACATCACCAATTGAAGCGGGGTAATATAATAACATCAAAGAGATCGATTATGATTACACAAGATCTTCAAAGTATGAGCGGAAGCCATCAAAAAAGCGAGGACAAGTGGTTATGATTCTGAGCTGGAAGTTTCGCGCATGACTCGCAAGTTTTGTGAGACGTTAGAGACGAGTACCACTACATCAAATATCAGCACATAACGAAAACATCGAGGTAAAACAGATGCCCCCCAAGCAGCCTTCAGCACCCATCTCGCTCAGCCAGGTCAGCGGCGATTGCCCAGAAAATAAAAATCAGTGGCTTCTTTCCCAATTAGGGTCGGTTTTTTATTTCTATAGTCGTTCAAGTGAGATAGGAGTTTCTTGAGGAATTAATGGACAACCGCTTAAGGCAATTCAAAAACCGCTCAATTTCATTGAAAATCGTATCCGTGGTGAAAGAACCCTTGAGAACTTATTGCTATTGAAGGACAAAGAGATTGCACCTAGTCCAGGCGCTACAGTAGTAGACAGTTTCTCTAGCATTACTGTTGCTACGTTTCCTTATGCAATTTAAGCCTAAAAAGCTCATAGCAATTGTTTTTGCAGCTTGAAGTGGGCTATACACTTACAACCTGACAGCCAGACCAAAATCTGCCATGCAGCACATCCCCGGCCGTTTGACGATGATATTCTTCGATTTGATATCCCGGTGAGCAATCTGGGGTTTTCGTCGACTTCCGGTCCCGATCACGGAAGCATGGAGGTGTTCGATTCCACAGATGGAGCTGAAAAGGAAATCGCATAATATTCCTGAAAAGGAAACCGCATAATATTCATCGAAAGGCTGGGAGCATTCATATAAACTGGCACATTTTGGGTTGTTAACATAATATCAGTGATTTCCGTTGACTAAACGGTACTTCACGCGCGTCCGTCGGAAGTAGGTCACCCCTCCCACTTCGCGCGCGGCGCACCCCACTATGGTCCCAAGATGATAACACAGTACCGCCAAGTGTCAGTGGAGAAAACGATTTGTATTCGTCCGTGCTATATTCCCTTTGACTGACTGGCATGGACGGAGCGCAATTCGTATGCCCCACTGACAACTGCGACGTTCGTCAAAGATCGCGGGCTGACACGCCGCGTGCGACGGCTGCGACGTGACCTAGNGGGGGGGGGGGGGGGGGTTGGTATATGTTCCAATAGAAAAATATCAAAAAGGAGAGCGATCAAAAATTAAGCCAGTGCTGTACCAACGGAAAAATACTAAAAATCTATTTCCAACCTGTAAGCCAACTGTAGCGCTTCTTGAGTAGTTAATGCTTGTTCCTGCTGGAGGTAGTCGTACAACGAACCAAGTGGATGGTAATCGGTTACCAGTATCATTTGAGTGAACGAGTCCATACTGAAGATGTCAGCAGCAACATACTCTAAACGAGGCTATGACAACCTTTTTTGAACCATCCTTGTGAGTAATATAATAATTTTTTTAAATTAGGGTCGCAATACAAGTCGCCCATTGCAGGTTTACATGGCTGAGAACAGGTTCATAAAAGTGATAAAATTTGGCGAAATTAAGGTGACCTTCAAACAGGGGCCATTCAATGTAGAAAGGGCTCCACTAAAATCATCAAGCCGTCAACAGGGTAGCTTTTAAGAAATCATACCTTGATTACCTGTTATGGAGGGTTTATAACAAGAGATAGGCAGCTGTCTCAGAAAGACTAGGTAAGCATCAGGGGCCGTAAGGTATGCTTCCCCGATCAGAAAGGGTCCCCTTCCCGGTAAGGTATGCTCTCGGAGAGAGCAGGGAGAAAGAGACCCGAATCGGGGCGTCCCAGCCCCGAACAGGAGAGCATACCATACGGTCTGAGCACCAGCACCGGGCTGCAATCGTGAATAAAAGCGACTAGAAAAGACTTACGCAATATATTCTCATGATTGAGCATTTGTGTCTCGTATATCTCCCGCTCATTGTTCCATGAGTCCTCTTCAGTTGTATAGAACGTCTAAAGTAGCCCGAATAAGCCGAGTATAAGTCATAAGTCACAACTACATGATTACTTTGACAGCCACAAGACTTCCTCTGAATCTTGCCAGGCGTACTTCTCCGTACCTAAATTGGTTGAGAAAATTAGGCATCAGACAAACTACAGCCACACATTATGCAGTTCGAACCTGCCCTTTCCAATGACTTTTTCGATGACGAGATCATTGGCTACTGTCCTTTGTACCATAGCCGCATTGCCAGAACCAGATCCACTTCTAAAAGTCTTTGGCAGACAGATGTGTCAATAAAATAGACAAAGATCACGGAGACACAGAATAGGGTTTCGGGAACTGTAGGATTCTCCCAATAACCTCATAGTCAACACAGACCATTTTTTCTAAACTGTGACTCTGTGGAAGATGCGATCTTCCCATTCTATCAGTCTCGAAGAGTGGTGCTCCCTGCCCTACTCATCGCCACTAATGGAATGGGAATATCGCACCTTCCTCAGAGCCCAAAACTTGCACCGGAAAAAGGTAATTTCCAAGTTCCCCATAAGTTTCGGTGACAGAAATTTACCAATACTTGATGTATGGATGTAAGTTGACTCTAAAATCCAACTGGGCACTACATTGGGCTAATTTAAGATCCAGTTAGGCACTATATTGTTTTCATAACTCTCAATAACTTCATAACCAAAACAACTCTAAGCCCGCCATTTCGTCCGACAGGATTTCTATGAATCAACCTTGGTGAAGGGAACTTTGTAGAGAATCCGGTCCACATATTTCTATACATTGAAAGGAAAAAATAGGCTCTGTAACGGCACGGGGACCGGCTGAAGCCACGAGGAAACCTCTTTTGAGATGTACTGCTCAGTAGCTGAAACCATGCCATTTTCTAATACCTCAATAGAACAACATTTCTCAGATTCTAAGTGATTTCGAAGGTCGAAACGATCTTTTTTGTCGAAGAACCGTGTTGTCTGATCAAATTATCGTCAACATGTGGGACGAGAAATTACTTGAGTGAACTGACCCTGAGTCATCTTGAATCATCGGTTCAACTTCAGACGTCGACGGCGAATCCTTTTCATTTTTCTGTTTGTTGACTGAAATGTATGCTTTTGATGAGGACTATTACCCGAGGATAGTAGAATATGTATGCATCAGGAAATAAATTTAGCTGAAGTTCTCAATCAAAACAATAAAGCTTTCTTCCCTACGTCATGGTGAACATTCGTCATTTTCATTCGTCATTCGTGAGCCCAAGCTATCATTGTAAAAGTCTTAAATTCTCACTCTCATTTGAATGGAATTTGGGTTTCCGGTTTTCCCATAACGGATCGATCAGGAATGGTTCAACCTCGTTATCTCCCAGTCATTCGCCTTTATAATTAAGCATTCATTTGGGCAGCTAATTAAGAGAAAATCACCCAACTGACGAACCATCGGGTCTGTGGTTTATCGGACCTTCATATGAGGCATAGTTTTTTTTCCAATTACTGCTCAATAATAATCAAATAACCCTGGTAGCTCGCTCAAGCTCGCTCAAACATGACGGATCACACAGTGCCTTGTGTTAAGTAGCAAAACTCAGGCTATATGTATATGGCAACTTTCATAGTAATGATAGTGATAAAAAGACATCAACCCAAGAAATATTCAGAGACCTTTCAATACGATTGTTTAAACTTGCCTAAGGGAAGCCATTTTTTGAAGTCACCATGTCGCTTCTGGAGGTACTGGAGGAGACATACACCAGTGATGATGGACAACGCAATAATTAACGGCACGAGTACGTAAACTGCAGGATGCGATTTCTGCTGAAGCCATTCATCGTCGTAGAACTCTGCTCAGAAAAATGGATTCTGTGCAGCAATAAGCTTCCAAATAACGTCGCAGAACTCACCGGAGTCTTTGGGAAGCTGTCGGTAAGGAGGAGGTTCGATCAGCAAATTGCAGTAATTACCCTCGTAACAGCAGGCGATACTTTTTGGGGTCCGATGAGGGGAACGAAACGAGTTACACTAAACCATCAAATCTGACTAGGCTGTTACGGCTGTGATTACTGCATATGGATTACTGTAAGGTGCGACGCAGAACTGCCTTTTTCCAGTGTAGCACAGCCGTATTGATGTACTGTTTCCATACGTCTCAGATCACTGTTATACACCTAAATATAAGAGAAATCTGGCAATTTCATCAAAACTATTGAAAAATAGTAATAAAAAAGTGACTTAGGGCGCAGGTGGTGTGGTGGCATATTGCGCACTATCTCACACGCGTGGTCAGGGGTTCGATATCCGCCTAGGCCAACCAAGCCTTCCAACTTCCGTGGTCGGTTAATTGGTACCAGACTAGTCTGGGAGGATAAAGCACTGACTTGTACATCGGTCACTGTATAGGCCACAAACTCATTGCGCCACTACGATTCTGAGTGGAAGTCGAGTGCGGGGGCGTATCCTTAAGACGGGATTGATTAAGGCAAAAACTTTATTCTCCATCCTTCAGCAGAGTGACTTCTAATCAACTCCAAGTTGTCAATACGGGAGCAGCGGTGGCCATTCAGAAGCTCAATGGGATTAACCACCATGCTTAATACCGAGCCTATAATGACATGGGCGCTGAGGTGATGTATGTACGCATTCAAACGAGAACGAACAAATCCATGCGGAACCCGAAATGTGCAGGTTGAGAATGTCGTTTCTGTATTGATCTAGGCACACTTTCGATTGGACTATAAGGCTGTTCAATCAATTTCTCATGGAAATAGAATGGAAACCAAAAAACTGCAACCAACTACAACATTGGCTTATAAGTTCCTCTCAACTCAAAAAAAAACCTATTGACAGTATACCGTCGATCAGTTGTTTTAGATTACGAGTTCCACGGGTTAACAGTGAGAGGAACCGCATGTGGTTTCTAACCAGTGAAATGTAATTCGAGAAATATATTATCATGTGGAAACTTGAAGAAGAGTTCCAAGCAGAACTTGCTATTCCAGAAATCTTCAGGGCATCCCCCTTGTTCCCTGCATCCCATCTCCGCCGATTCAATGTGTTGACTGCTCTCTACTATAAAATCCTTCTTGTATGTCCTTCCCTTGTCATGTACCCGGTTCCTCCATCAGACCCACTAAATGCATTTTAGTTTTCACAAAGCATTAAATCAACTGTTTATGAGTTCCCTTTGCTGGAACTACTAGAGATGATTACGACCTTCTCAAAAAAAGTTAATAATTGGTTTCGCTTCCAAAAAGATCCATTGCGTCTCATACCCAATCTCGAACAACTTCAAAGAACTACCTCTTTCATGAAATGAAAGCACGCAGCATTGGTGTGCTTAATGCAAGTGTTGTTCGAATCGCATATGTCTCCTCCGTAATTGCAGAAGCATAGATTTCTTGTTGCATCGTCAACGTTCTCAGGGCTGAAAGAACTCTGTATTGAATGCCAAACGGTGGAAAGATTTTTTTATTATCTTCAAACCAAATAGATATTGGAAGTCAAACGAATAGCTTCATACTCTTAGCTGCAAATAGACATTTTTGAAGAGTTACTTAGAAAATTCAAAAAACCCTGTCGTCGATAGCATCATCTCCTGAAGGGAATGGAGTTAAGCGCTGCATGTGGTCCTGTCTTGACTAATATCGCCTGCATTTGCTCAAATTCTAGGTTTTGAATCACTTGCGATGGCCTTTCCGCTTTTTTCCGGCCTTCAGGGCATACCCTCTTGAGGTTAACAGTAGATCCGTACCTTTTGCACCATCCCTTACAGAGGTGAGTAAAGCCATCGACACAGTTACCATAAAGCTAGTCTTTTCATTTACGATTAAGTTTATGTTTTTGCGTTCATCAGGAAGATTCCAATCATTGAAGTGAATCTGCCTCTGTTGAGGACCAAGCTTTTCGGGAATACCTGCTCATCATTGCTTTAGCCCTGTTTATGAGAGGTCTAACAAAGATTCAGCCGCCTACTTGAGCTAGCTCATCTGATTGTGGGCTCCTTCTACAGCTTCGGGCTTGTCGTGAGTTCGGGGGCCTGAGCCATCAAAGCTTGCTATAAAGCTCAAACCTCCAAAGGGAAATCGAGAGTTGTGCATTGCTCGAGGAGACATGAATTCACCTGCTAGACCAATTGAGCCTTTCTGCAGTGAGCTCGGCAAAGAGGTGGAAGAATGAAAGCAAAAACCTTTATCGGCTAAATTGTGCACTTCAATGTGCAGGCCAAAGATCGGGCAAGTACTCAAATAAATATTTGAAAACATTCACAATTCGAAGGGTAGGGGAGCCTAGAACTGTTCTTTATGAGAAACAATTGCGTATCAAACGTAGTGTCCTTCCTGGTTAGCGAATAAAAAAAAACTTTAATGGCAGGTCTTAAGGATGAAGTCTTTGGGCGTTTATTGATCCCGTCTGAGGGATGCGCCCTGCATCTCGACTTCCATCCAAAATCCTAGTAGCGTATTGAATACGTATGCGTCCTATACAATGAGCAGTCGATATACAAGTAAGCGCTTTTTTTCCTTCCAGGCGAGTCTGGTAATAAATTCATCGCCCCCGGAGGGATGGAAGGCTTGTTTGACCTTGGCGGATCTTGGTCCGGGATTCGAATCCGTCACCATGTGTGTATGATAGTGTGCCACTTGCCACTTCACCACCTTCGCCAGATGGAACGATGACAGAGGAGCGGTACATGTACAATCTTACTCTGAAGTCTGTTAGGAAGTAATATTCCTGTTCAGAAAATGAATATTTTATTTTCTCGGTAGTCCCCAGAATTGTTGTATTCGCCTGATAGTTATCAAAGTTCCTAAACACTACTTATAGGGCCAATATAANTTTTTTTTTATTTCCCCAGAATTGTTGTATTCGCCTGATAATTATCAAAGTTCCTAAACACTACTTATAGGGCCAATATAAAGCCAATTAAAGTGGGGGAACGTGTTTCCAAGTGAAGCGAGATCAATAGCGAATTGAATCGGGCTCAAATGGGTACTAGTAGCTGAGTAATAGAAGCCTTTGAAGATCTAAAATCATGCAAATCATTTTTGATTGTTCTTCCTAGCGAACGATTCCGTTCGAGGGAGGTGTTCCCCGTACTTCTCAAAGGTCACGGCGAAATATAAATGACCAACACCGTACGTACGATGACCGTTCTTCCATGATTTTACACAATGAACTGAATGAAGAAAAATGTCGAAACGCGTAGTCAAATTCCAAACGGACGTTTTTCAAAATGGAATCGATGATGACACCGCAATAGCTAAGGTGAAGCTGCTGATAAGAAGTAGTACTGACTGACTAACCGAACCGAGTGATGGCGATATGGATTGCCAACTGCTTCCTCAGGAATCGACAAATCAAACGCTTCTTCTATGCGGAGAATCGAACAGAGTACAAAAACAAGAACAAGATGTCTCATTGATTAGGTAATCATTCGGGGCGATCCGATAAATCTGGAAGCGATTGTTCAAAAAATAAAAGAGTAAGTATTAGTAAAAGAAGCCAAAAAAAGAAAGTAAAGACAAAAAAGAAAAAGAAGAAACAAGCCAAAAATGTTGATTATGGAAGCTAGTTTGATGGCCACGAAGGAGACTTATTACATAGTTCACAACATTTATGTTTTCCTAACAACCTTGACTGCTATTTTGAAAAAAAAA